CTTGAAGTTATGAAAGTCATAAAGAAGGTATCTTAAAATGATTTTTGGTATACATATAACTTTACTATGTATTAATGATAAAAACAAATTTTTATATTAATGAGATAGATATGCTTGGATGACTTAAAAACTTAAATCTCGGGTGAATATTTGATGTTGAAGGATACAGAACATCTTCAACATTTTTTAGGATAGATGGATGTTTTGATTTTATAGTTGCCAGTGCTACAAATTCTTCTTGCCACAACTATGTAGTACAAAATGACAGAATTATATTTAGGGCCATTTCAGAATTTGTTGGAAGTTCTCTTCTAATCCCAAGTCAGAATCTTTTTGGATTTTTTTTAAATGAAATTCAAGCCTGAAGCTCAAACAGCTGTTTTTAAAGTCAGCCATTCCAGCTTAGCGCGGCCAATGCAACGGTAAACCGATCCGATGCTTACACGTTGAGGACTAATGCTAGGGAATTATTAAACGTTTTTGTTTTCTACAATTAAACCATTATGGTTCCTTAAGAACTGAAAACTTTATATGCGTAAGGAAAACTGCAGTTCATAATATCTAGCGGTCTGCAGTCTGAGTGGAGGTGTTTTGGGAAGTGTTCATGGGGACTGTTGGGTTGACGACATGTATGGTATTTACTGTACACACTGTATGTTCAGACCAGTGCTGCAGTGAAGTTGCATGTTGTAACACAGGTGAGGGCCAGGAATACCTTGGGATTTGGCTTAATTTCTGGTCATTGTGTCTTAAGAAACCTCTTATCTTGCCAAACTTTTCACTAGTACTAAATTTGGTTATATGATTCTATATAGGGTCGCAACTCACAGTTTAAGATGCTGTGGCTTAAGGAACTGTATACAGGAGAGTCCCAGGCTTGGAGAAAATGGCATGTTCCAACCAATTTAAAGTATCATTCTTTGATGGCTTCACTGCTTCCTAAAAACATAAGAAACGAAACTTTTTTGTGTGTGTGTGCTTTACAGTGGCCGTCTTGCTACTCTGGTTTTTATATTTGCTGACTTAATTATCTGTGAAGGTGTATTTGAAAAGCCATGTTAACCAGAGAAAAACACTACTCCCCCAAACTTATTATTGCATAAAGAAATTTTCATCTTCTTCCTGAGAAGGGAATAGAAAAGGGAAGGTAATTCTAGTGTTTTTCATAATCCGTCCAAGGAAAGAAAGAGTTTTCCTCACCAGATAAGTTGGGGGAAGAAACTCTTTGGATAGTCCTTCTGTTTCTGCTGTGAGGTTCACGCTGTTGGGAGTCGTATGTTGGGTTTTCTCATATATGTAACTTTTTATACACACTGTGAATGAGCCCTGAGCTTCCCTATTTAGCACTCTTCACTGTAAGGACACATCAGAGCTCCAAGAACCTTCTGCCTTCATAGCCCTGTTGCAGCTCTGTTACGCTTTTTACTTAAAAAGTTTTTAAAAGATGTGTATTTTAAAAAATTTTATGTGTATGGATGTTTAGCCTGTGGGCATATTTTTGTACCACAGTGTGTGCATTGCCCACAAGGCTGACAGAGGGCATTGGATGCCCTGGAACTGGAGTTACAGATGATTATGAGTCTCCCTGTGGGTGCTTGGAAATGAATTTCAGTGCTCTGAAAGAGCAACCAGTGCTCTTAACCCACTCTACCATCTCTCTAGTCCCGACATTATGTCTTAAATCCTTTTAGTTTCCTGACTTTATAGCCTCTGCTTGCAAACCAGTAAAAAAGTCTTGAGCTGAAAAAGCCACAAGAACCCTTAGACATATTTCTCAAATCTTTCCTTTTTGGGGAATCTTAACTTCTTAAGATACAAGCTGCTTTAGTAGCCCTCCAATGCTTTCCAAGAGTTGATTTTTAAAGTTTATTTGGCCTTTCTAGTTTTTATCAGAGGAAGGGTTAGATTGATACTATCTAGAACAGTGTGTTGACTGCTATCTCTGTCCCACAAGGTCCCATAGCCATTTAGTCTCAAATAAACACACAGAGGTCTACATTAATCATAAACTGGTTGGCCTAGTAGCTCAGGCTTCTTATTAATTAAGTCTTACATCTTACATTAATCCATTATTCTTGACTGTGTTTGCCACGTGGCTTGGTACCTTTTTCGGCAAGGCATTCACATTCTGTATCCTCTGCATCTGGGTGATGACTGCAGACTGAGTCTTTCCTCTTCCCAGAATTCTCCTATTCTCATTGCCCCACCTCTACTTCCTGCCTGGTCGCCCTGCCTATACTTCCTGCCTGGCTACTGGCCAATCAGCATTTTATGAAATTACAATTGACAGGGTACAGACATCATCCCACAGCAACAGTGGGTCATTGAAGTTGTCCGTCAGCTACTTTGGGAAGCTGCCCAAATGCCAAGGGCATTCAAAATGTAAGAAGCCTTTGGGTTGTTTTGAGGCAATAAATGAGATCTGATTCTTATCTTGAAACACTCTAGGATTAGACTGTTAAAGGTCACTTTGGATAATCCATTCCTTATCACCAGTGACTATTATGTCCCCCAACCTCTGGGAAATTTGAGTATATATACAAATAACTGTGAGATGGCTGAAAGATAGGAGAAAGTCTCTTTCCTAATAGATATCCTACCTGGCTCTTTCTGTCAGTGTTGCTTTACCTTTTATAGCCCTGTAATGCTTAGAGTCATAAAAATTCAATTTTGTTTTTGGTTTCTCTCATTTTGATTTTTTATGTGGAAAACATATCCCTATAACAACCGTCAGTTTTTGAGGGGATGGACTGTGCTTGCTTTATATCACCCACAGTGTCTAACTGGTGTACAGGATCTTCATAGTTGTTGCTCAGTTTAAATTTGTAATGTAGGAAATTAATTTCCTGTTCCAAGTACTGGTTGGGAATTCACCATGCGTAAGGGACTGTGCTAGCCCTGACAGCATGCATTCTTGAATTCTGTCTTTCCTCCAGAGAAAAGGTGACAGCAATTTAAGATGCTGAGGATGTGGAGTCTTTTTTGCTTTGAAGTAATTGTTCCCATGGCAGTAGATTTGTTATAAAAGAAATCATTGTTGTTGAAGTTGAACGTCTTCCTTAGATGAGAACAGATTAGGGCTGAAAAGCTTCAGTGAGGGACACGGACACTTGTCCTGCCGCCATACATTTTGTCAGACAGACCACGGTCTTAAACATAAGCCTGGAGTGCAGATTGTGTTTTGTTTTCACTTGGGAACTTGTGTTTACACCAGCAGCCAACCGACCTGATAGATGGTGTTGGTCCTCACATTGAGAGGCCTGAGCCTTTCCTTTAGTTCTTGTTGGCAGGCCCTCACCAGCCTTTGACATACCCTAGGCTCTTACATGTGGGAGCGCAGTGCAGGAGTTTGGCTTTGAACTCAAATAAATGGCTACATTAGGAGGCCCGTTTCTCTCCCGGTGTTACTGAGTTTAAACGTGATGCTTTCCAGGCATCAAATGTTTGCAAAATGTACTTCCCGCTGTCTACTATGCTTGGGAGCTACAGGCAACACTTCTTGGCCTGTGCTTGGATGTTCTGTATGATGAAGCAAAATTAAACATGTAATAAAATGCTTGTTTATAGAATGTATAATGTGACATTGGCTGAGGTCCTGGCTCTCAGGGCAGACTGCTTGGCTATGCCTTTCTAGCTATGGGATCCTGAGTGAGGTCTCTGTGTGTAGAGCTCATGCTTACAAAACAGAACAGAACAGAGAGCTGCTGGGAGGATTAGCGGTGCTGGTCCTTATAAAATACTGGACACATCGGTGTCGGTTGTTATTATTGCTTTTATTTATGCCAATTATGAGATGAGGTTCTGAAATTCCAATCATCAATCTCAATAGAACTACCTTCTTCACTGCCTCCCCACCAGTCCTCAAGTTTCCAGATGACCTGACTATGCTCTATTGCTTAACAATGAAAAAACAACAGCGATTCACTTTTGTGAGTGAGATGTCTATGGGGGTGAAGGATGCCTTTCAGAATACTCTCAGCTTTTGAATATCAGGCCTGCTGAGTTATCTTCCTGTATATGCTGCCATTGCCTTTAGTCCAGATATGCCTGATGCTAATTAATCACTTCCACGGAGTACTTAATGAGTGGCTTAGTTAGGATCGTCTTTGAGTAGCAGGCAGTAGCATCTCGTGCCAGTTCAATGCTATTGGCCAGCTCTCCCTAGTTCCTCTGGCTGAGGAGGGAAGGTCTTATGCTTCTGTGTGTCTGTCTGCTCACCTCAAGAAGGTTTCAGAAGTCCAGTGGCATCTGTGTTACATTCATGATGTGTCACATGTGTGAAAACAAGCCAGCATAACCACTCAAAATAAATCCACGGGGAAACTGAGATTGGTTATTGAATTCTTCTGATTGTGCTAAACAAGCAGGAAACATGTTGTTTGCAAGTTTTGAAAATGAGCCCGTGCATTCTTCATATAACAGAGTATTTCATTTTTCTGCTGAAAGCTAAAGTATTTTCCTTCTGGCATCCTCATTTTGTAAAATATATATATATATTTGAAATATTGCTGCATTGTAACAGAATGAAATCTGCACTCCATTTTCTTTCTCTTCTCCCCCTCAGGAAAACAAGTGAAAACTAGGCAAACGGAGCACCTTCCTGCCTTATTTTCCTATAGTAGTGGAGGGGGAGTTAGGCCCGGGAGGACCACCACATCACTCTCTAAGCTAAGGGGACTTAGGCCCGGGAGGACCACCACATCACTCTCTAAGCCAAGGGGAGTTAGGCTGGAAGGATCATCACTCCCTATGCCTTGCTCCAACCTTCCAGATGAACTACAACCTTGCAACATGATAAGAAATCAATACACAGGTAGCTTTTATTTTATGGAAAAGGGAATCCTTTAAGTGACGTTCACAGATGAGGACAGCAACTGTGCAAGGGGCCAGCTTTCCTGAGCATGTTTGCCCATTTTGATTGTTACAGGCCTATAGACGTCTGACTTGGGGAGATGATGAACTTCCCAGGAGGATCAGCTGAAATATTTTGTATCCAACAGATCGGCTGCTACTTCCAGGAGAAGTCGAACAGGATATAAGCGCCAGTGTTCCTGCTTATGTTCCTTCTGTGAACCTGCCTCTCACTTCTGAAGTGAAGCCAAAACCCACTGAGCGAAGAACTCTGAAGCAAATGGAAGAGGTATTCCCGGGGAATTCCATCGGGACAGTATGTGGGTTTTACCCTTTCAGGGAACCCCTATACCTGCACCCTTTGCATTTTCCTTGGTTTGGAATAATTTAGAGTTGGAGCTGTTTAGTTGGTCTTGCTTGTTTCCATCTGTCCCTGACGTACATAGAGCAATAGTGTTTGCATATAGAAACCTGGTTTACCTCTGTAGTTCTGCGTAGGGTCTGCAGGGCAAATGGAAGGACAGTTCCCTTCTCTCTCCTGGTCTCACCTGGCTGTGGCTTTTCTATCATCTCTGAGGTCCTGTAAACCTCTGTATTAGGTAAGGTAAGGACAGGATGTAAACAGAATCTCAGTTTGAAATCCATTCCTAAAAGGAGGTAGAAGTTCATTTCTTGTATTTAAACATTTGTAGAGAGTCCTACAGTGAACAGGTCAGTTTCTTAGAGTTATCAGAGATTAAAAGGCTCTGACTTGAATTCATTGACAACTGCTGAGTTGTTCATAGCTGGGCATGTGGAAGGCTGGGAAATGTCGTTAAGCATTATTTTCAGAAGTGGGAGAACGGAATCTCCGCTATAGTCTGTTCTCCCTAACGTATTACTTGAGAGCCATTTTTGCAATTTTTTTTTTTTTTACAACTCTTCCTACCAGCATTAATAAATACACTGCAGGTGGGGCTGGGAAGTAACCTTTACCCTGTTTAACATAGAGGGGATAAACATAGGCGTTGCTAAGGGCTCTTTATTAGCGCTTTCTAGCCAAATTCTAGGGTCCCTCTTTGGTTTCCTTAATCATTCAGGTGCTCTTGTAATGGTATACTCTGTTATGAATCAGTCATTTAGTCAGAGAGGACATACACATTTCAGTCTTAAATGGTTTTTTTTCCTTATAATACTTTTGTCTACCGTACTGAAAAGTATACCCAAGATGCTTACAGGCTTGCATTGAACTCCCAAATTGGTTACTAGACAAATAAGTCAGGACAGCTACTTTCCAATATGCCTTTTGAATTATAGATTATGTTCTTTGAGCTGTAAGAAGCTAAAATTACAGGGCTTCTCAATACAGGAATCCATTTCATTTTAAGGCTTGTTTATATTCTTGGTTAGGCTGTAACCATACAGGTTGGGCATGGCATCTAGTACCCTAAGAGATGCAATTACTTTGATGTCAGTTATAGAATATATGTATTTTGAGATAGTAATTGAAGTTATTATAAATTAGTTTCAGTTAGTGCTTAAGAAGCTTCTTCTGGGATCTATCCCATAGCCCACAAAACTCAAATTACAACTACAAGTATTATACCTAGGGCCTTGCACTTATTAGGCAAGCATTTATTTCCCCCATTTTAAAAATTAATTTTGGAGACTCTCATGAAATGTATTTTCATTAGATTCACCCGCAGCCCCTGACTCCTCATGGATACGCCCCTACCTCCCTAACCTCCCCCCCTCCCCCCCCAGTTTCACACACACTGGTTGACTGGACTGCATGTCTACCGTGCAACGTGTGCTGCACTGGAGTCGCTCTGTAGCGCAGGCTAGCAGTTTTCTTGACTGAGTCTCGCAACTACTGATATTTTGTATGTAAGCTTGATTTCTTTTTGCTTGCTTTGATGTAACCAGTTCTCACTAGGTAGCACAGGTCGGCCTCAAACGTGTTCATTTTCCTGCTAGTAAGAGCTAATGATTATAGGTGTAATCATTATTTGTTGGAGAATTGTTTTAGAACCATCATAAATTACAACATTGAACCAATGCTTCCTTGGTTTAATAGCACAAATCTTATTTTCACCACCTAAATCATTAAAAGAATGCAATCATCAGTTTCTGGCGAGTGTCCTGTGAGGGACCGCCAAGGAGCCTTTGGGTCTAGAGCTGGTAGCTGCTTTCAGTGGCTTCTGTCTGAAAGTGCAATGCATTCTGTGAGTCCTGCTTCCTCGGTATTGCCTTTTCAGAACCCACAACTCTCAGGTATGGATGGGGTCTGTTTGATATTTCCCCATGATTTCGTTACTAGTTTATGTATGTACATTTGTCTCTTAGAGACATTTTTAACACTTCTGGCTTATTATTTGTCAACAAATTTTTGCCTTGATCCTCTGTTTTAATACATTTTGGAGGCTTTGAACTGCTTTCTAGAGCAAGCTAAGTTCATAATAGTGAGAGTGAGATTATGGTTCCTTTGAAGAGACAACCATGCAAGAGGTCAGTAGAGAAGCTTGAGGTTCCCTGTCTTCCATTTCACAATGGGATTCTAAACATTTCTCCACCGAGCTAGTTTATTTACCACATCACTCTGTGTTCTAGCTTGTAGCTAAATGCTACCGTTATTGATTTGAGCATTACTTTTGTGTTCCTTAATTTGCCCGTGTGGTATTATGAATGAAAATGTCTCCTCTTTTAGTAGCATCCCTGTAAGAATCAGTCACATGAGCGATTTTAAGGAAACTCAGTTTCCTAATAGTATACAGATTCTATTCCCATAGTGGTCACAAAAATTTTTCAATTAGACTTGAAATTAGATACCTGAAATCCACACATTTCTCTCAGCTCCTTAGGCAAAAATAACAAGTTAATAACTTAATTCACACTTGTTTTTTTGTTTAGCAGCGGGGGAGTTGGTGTTGTATAGCAACGATCCTTCTTCAAAATAAGCCAGAATTTCAATTTGTAGTTGAAATGTTGGCGCAGTAGAGCTTAAGATGCTGAAATAAACCCACCTTGAAAGAAGAAAGCTTCCAGGCTGCTAGGGCAGTCAACAGCTGGATCATGGAGCAAGCACGCAACCTGTCTGTGTTTGAAGGGGTACGATGATGCTTTCTGAATGGCATGGCACACCTCATTACACTTGGAATTATGTATCTGTGTCTATAAGTTTATGTTATTGCAACATAAAATGTCAGAATGAACTCAGAATGAAACAGATATGCAACAAATATTTACCCAATAAACAAATACATGCATTCTTCCTACTAAGCAGGAGTAACTTTGTGCTATAGTGACATGGTTGAAGTCTGTCATGGTCTGGATATGATCTGTTACCCACAGACCCATGCCTTTGTATACGTGGTCCCCAGCTGCTGGTGCTATTTTTGGGGAAACCTTTAGGAGGTTGGGCTCCAGCTGGAGGAAGTGAGTTACTGGAAGCTGAATAGCCCAGCCTCTCTGCCTGTCCTCTGTCCTGCTCTGTGTAGCTGGGAACACACAACTGCAACATGTCCCCACATGATGACACCAAAAGTTGGGGCTGACCTTCCCTTGCTGTGTGTCTTTTCTTCTCTTTGGCATCTGACACTACTGCAAATGTGTAGTATTTTGATTTTGCAGAGGCTCGTGGTTTAGAGACACCCCAAGTCTCAGAAGAGACTCTGCTTTTGCATGTGTGAGTGGTTGCAAAACTGCTAAAGGCTATAGGACTTTTGAAGTTGGACAGGATTTATTTGTCATTATGAAAAAATCAAGAGCACATGGGGCCAGAAAGGAAATGTCCTGGCGTAAATGTGCAATGCACCACATAGGGTAATGTCTAAACATTTGGTCTTCAGCTAGTGACAGTTTTTGGAGGTTGTGGAACCTTTAGAAAGTGAGAGAGATGTGGTCACTGGAGATGGGCCTCAAGGTTTTATAGCCTTGTCTACATCCTGTCCTTGCTATGCTTACTGGTCCACATAGGTGTGAGGAAGTGGCTGTCATATGCCCCCACCACCATAGAGCTATCTTCTGCCAATACTTTCCCTACCATGATAGGCTGTAGCCCTCAAAGTTTGAGCCAAATAAAAGTCTTCCCCCTTTTGTTGTTTTTGTGAGGTATTTTTGCATGATGACCTGAAATGAAGCTAATATAGTGTCCTTGTCTCTTTTCTCCTTTCTTAACCCCTCTCCCACAACATGTCACAATGATCAAATCTCCCCTCCCATTCTTGACAAAAAAGAAACAAACGAAGGAAAGGTTGCTTCCCTTGGACCTTTCTTTGGCTAGGGTCTGTTCCTCTCCTTTTTTTCCATTCAAATTCATTAGTGCTTCTGGTTGAGTTCCTCTCCCCTCTGTTTCCGCTCAACTCCATTAGTGCCTCTGCCTTTTCTCTTCTCATTCCTCTCACAATGAACTGCAAATTGCTTTGCTGTGGTTGCCTACCTGAAAGTATTCAGAATGAGGGAACCAGGTGTAGTTCAGTAGCCCAGTCTTGGTGTGGGAAGTCCTTCTGTCCATGTGTTGCTTTTATTGGTTAATGAATAAATCTGTTTCAGTCAGTGGCTTAGCAGAAAAGGGTAAGGCGGGAGTTTCAAGCAGATAGAGGAGGAGAGAGTAGTTGGAGTTAGGGAGAAGCCATGTAGCCACTAACAGGGACAGAAGCCTCCGCTGGAGCCTGCCAAAACTTTGCTGGTAGGCCATGAACTTGTGGTAATGTACAAATTAGTGAAGGTGGGTTAGTTTAGGATATAAGAACAAGCTAGAAATATGCTTAAGCTATTGGCCAAACAGTATTGCAAATAATATAGTTTCTAAGTGATTATTTCATGGTCTGAGCAGCCGTGAACTGACAAGTAGCCTCCCGCCTAGAGAGTGGTGTTTCCTTTTCTACATTTATGAGCATGGACATTCATGCCTGTCCTGCCATGTCAGTTTTCCCCTAGTCTCTTGATTTACTGGCTCTCACAATTTGTCTCTATTCTCTGTGTGTTTCGGTAATTGTTCCTTTTATCCTTCTTTGGAGGTTTTTGTCTACCCACTCCTAACAAGTCAGTGTTCCCCAGGGCATCATATACTTTTCCCTCCCTGAATGCTCGAAGCAGTTTTCGTCCTATATTCTTCCTCTTATGCTTATCTCTCAATGGGCACGTCTAGCTTCAGGTCTTTTTCCCCTTGAGCTTCAGCTTTGCGTGTTTGATTGCTTTTTGACTTCTATATCTTCCAGGGATCTTCAGATGCACTGTATTCACAGCTGAGCATCTCAGCCTGTGCTTTCTCCTCTTCCTTCTCTATGTCGTCAGTCACCAAGCGCTGCTCTTTTCCTTCCTAAATGGTTTTCATATCTTTTCTACCGGTGCTTCATTGTCCTTGTCTCTTGCTTAGACTACTGGAGCAGAGTTCTGAGGAGCCTTCTGACTCCAGGCCAATCCCTTTGAATATACTATTTAACCTGAAGTGTGAGCTATTTAATTCTAATCTCCAATATGACAGGCCATATTTTTTTTTCTTTTTGGTGCAGCTAATACCTGCTCCATTATATGTGTTCATTAAACTCATTAAAACATTTGACAAAATGAAGGAAGTGCATATAAGACCAAGTGTCTGCCCTTGCTTTCAAAAGATTCTTCAAAAGCTTTTCATCATCTATAAGATGCTGCTGCCACCTTGCCATTTCTTGCACTGTCCTCCTTACAGTTAATGCTCAGACAATGCTGAACCGCTTTCAGACGTGAAACCCTGCACCTTGTGTTCATAGCACGCTCACGGAAACCCTCCTGTCTTCAAAGCTGTTCCTCCCTCAGCCTGTTGACTGATTCTACTTAGGGATCCAGCCGTCTCCGATCCCTTCTCAGCCCACTCCAGTCTGGTCTATGTTAGATGCTCCCATTACCACTCAAACTCTTCCATTCCACCACTCAGGTGTGCCTGTGCTGACACAATCTGTTAGTGACTTTATGCAGGTCTTTGTGTTCTAGGAGCTCACGCAGTGGCTAGGAATGTAGGAAAATGAACATTCTGGGACGAATGAAAGATCCCTGAGTGATTGCAGGGAACTAGTCTCTCACTTTGACTCAGTGAAGCCACACTGGAAGCTTATCTCCAAATGGCCTAAAATATTCTGAGGATCACACTCTGACTTTGCAAATATCTTTAGTTTCCTCTGTTGTGTTTCAGCATTTAGGTCGCATTCTAAGAAAATTATCTGCTCTAATAACAAACTTTAAAGTTCATTGTAAGTGGCTGTTTCTTGCATTGGCAAGTTCTAGCTTTTAGAAATCTCTGTTTTTGCTGTTATTTTGGTTAATTCACAATGTCTGTAGAAAATTATGGCAGCACAATGAAAATTCAACTATATGGGGAAAAACCCTTAAAGAAAAATGCTTTTTTTTTATTAAAGAGAGAATTTCTTCATCAGTAGTATCATAATACTACATATTGCAGCCACAATATGGACTGGAATCTCAGGAAAATGGAGGCATAAGAAGGCATGGGATGGGGCCATCTCTGAAGAACTAACTTAGCCATAGGAGTTGGCGTTGATCAGAAGCCTGAGAAGTCCAAGCTATGAGCCTTACTTTATCTTGACCACTAAGACAAGATGGTGGACAGTGAGGAGAGAGATGTGGGGGCTGGGGGTGTGTTCTGCAGGTACATGCTCTGTCTTTCTCAGTTTTCCTAGTGAGGAGCGTGCCACATGTCAGTGATGTCCCTTGTTACTGTCTTCTCCTTACAGGGAAGCCTGGAGACCCAGGTTTTGCTGTACCCTGTTCTGTTCCCAGTACCTAATGCTTAGCAACTGTTTACTGGTGAATAAGTAAAGGGTGGGGGAGACGGAAGTACGTTATGTACCAGGGAGTAGGAAGGGCATGGTATAATATCAGAGGAATTTCCATAGCTGAGAGACTTGTTTAAGTTGAAGTGATAGCCCAGCCTCCCTGGGATGTGGATGAAGGCCAGGTTTTTGCATGTGGTGAGCACGGATGTGTTCCGAGAATCAGGATGAGGTTCTGAATCGTAGTGCAGGACATAAGCCAGATCTCTGCAACTCAGTAGATGTGTTCTCTCTTGCTTTTAGACGAGGGCACAAAGAGCTTCAAAAATCCTCCGAGACTAAAACAGTCACAGAGACAGAGTTTCCTCTACATCTAGGCCAGGATCAGTAAGAATCAGGTGTTTACATAGTTAGGCAGGATGGACTGGGGCCTGGTCTGCAGGTTTCAGTATTCTACACGGAGTCGGCTTGGACGCTTGCATTCTGGACATGAACATCAAGTGTCTGTGTGTGTGTGTTTCTTCATTGGCGCGAGTCTTATCAATAGTGCTCCTCTGTTATTTTGTGCTGAAGATATCTAATTATAGAGAGTGACCGTGGCACATCAGCCGCTTTCTTCTGCAGGCTAATTTGTGTGTGTGCAGCTGCTCCTTTGAAAACAGTCATGGCCTTACACATGGTCTTGAGGCATTTTCAGTGGTAGCTGTGGGAACTGTGCAGCTTATTCAGAGAAGGACTTTTCTTCCAAAGAACCAGTGTTTTTGAACTTGTTTTGTTTGTGTTTTTGAACAAATGTGGCTTTATTTGAAGCATATTGTCCTGGTTTCAAAAGTGGCCTATCTTCTTTACTAGCCTTGGGCAAGTTCTAAAAACCTTTCAAAGCTTCATGACTGGGAAGCAATAGCATGAGGACTTCAGTCAGCCCGGGCATAGTGAGCACAGCTCTAGAAGGCCTTGCTCTTTTCCTCTGTTCCCTCTGCCTTGCTAAACACCATTAGCTTATATTCCTAAAGCTAGCCACCAAGGTCTGTTCCTTTATTTGGCCACTTCCTCCTCCTGAGGCTGACAGCCAAGGTATAGCTATCAATGTATTAAAGTCCAGCAATCCCTTTGGCTATCCTAATTAAGACACCCAAATTAAAATTAAATACCTCATTCTAACATGAGGTTTCCCCATTTGCCTTTATAAACCACCATTTCCTATGTGCATGTCTGTCTCCTCTCTGTCCAGAGGCAGTCCTTTATCCTCCTCCAGGACAAATGCCTGTTCCCTCGCTCCTTTGTTCCCTTCACTCTTTCCCTCATCCTCTGTCTCCCCTCTTTGTCCTCTGTCCTTTGTCCCTCTATGACAAATAAGTCTCCTTTATGCTGAGAACTTGGTCGTGGGGTGTCCCGAACTGATACTGATCCTTTCAGTAGGTACTAGCAGGGCTGATAGATGGAAGGATACTGTTGATACCCATGTGGTTCTGGTACTAGGGCAGGCCCATGATAGTAACACATTCACTGGCAGCCGTTGACTTTCCTCCCCAGGAAAACACAGAGGAGAGGATCAGACCTCTGGAAATTGTTGGATCACAGCAGCTGATTTTATTGCTGCAGGGCAATGAGCGGCTGGGAGTCTGCTATTAGCACTGTATACCGTACTCCCTAATAGGACTCTGAAGAGCGAGGTGGGAAGCAGAGCTTTCCTGATGTCTTTCCACTGTAGTAGCAGCACAGAGCCTCCAAGCAGCTTGTTCCATTTCACACACACTGCAGAAGTTATTTGGGGAGATCATCTTCCATGCAAGAATGTTTAAAGCTGACACTACCTAGCTGCAGGGCATTTTTTTTCATTTATTGCATAAGCCATAGTTTTCAATTATTTCCGCACCACCATACATACAGAGTTGATGAGGTGCTGCGTGATTTCATCGTATCTCATACCATTGGCTTTAAGTGGGATTTTTCAGGGGTGAGTTAATGAGATTTAAGGCATTCTTTTCTGTTTACTGGAACATGTACTTTTTTGATAAACAAGCGAACAAATGAACAAACAGACAAACCTTTTCCCCATGCTGGGGACCAAGCATAGGATCTTGTGCGTGCCCGGCAAGCATTCTATTGACTGAGCTTCACTCCCAGCTTGGGAACTGTGCTTTGAGTGGCTCCGGCATGTCTATAAACATGTACAAAACTATTTCCTTTCTTTGCAGGTAATCCAACTTACAGGTAAACTGTCATATGTAAAACGGAAGAAAAGGGATGCTGGACTTTTAAATTTGATCATATGTGTTTTAATTTCTCCTGTTATGAGACAGGGGTATGGCTATTATTTCAAGTATGGTAAATTCAGGGTGTTTTTGTTCTTATTTTTAAAGATTACTTCATTAACAGATATTTTTTAGCAAATGGCGCAAAGGTTGGTCAAGACCTTAAGGTGTATTTCTTGTTTAATGGGTCCTTATGCCTCCATCTCTGACACTGCAGTGGGCAAAGAATGAACTGAATGTGTGCAAGCAGACCTGATTCTTGCTGTGGGGGTGGAATTAGTTAATGATACTCATTCAGATACAGCATGATACAAATGGGGCATATTAAGAGGCTTAAATTAGGTCAAATTGAATAATTGAATTTATTTCATTACTTAAAAACAGCTTAATCAGCTGTGAGTGCCGAAAGTCTAAAAAAAGTTTCATTAAATATTAATAGGCTGTTTATGTTTTCAACTTCATTTTCACTTCAGTGACTGTGTTTCTTTTTCCTTTGGTATTATTTTTTTTCAGATATTTGGAGATGAAGTACAGCCCTTCTTTCTCGATGAAGAATTTGATTATGACAATGTGACTCTCACTCCCAAGTTCACTGCTGGAGAGATAGCGACCATCCAAGAGCTGGCCAAGAAAAGGAAGATGGATTCCAATACAGACTTTTGTGAACACCATGACTGAGTCAATAGATGTCTTTGTGTTTAGTTTTATTTTGTCTATACGCAACCAACATTAGAATAAAGCATACATCAGCTGATTCCCTCCGTGGAAATGTATACATCTGCATTTTTTTGTCTCTGTTGTTTATCACCAGGCCACAGAGGGACCAAGGCTGAAGGTATCACTTCCGTTTCTGAAGTCTCGTCTGTCCGTGGCTGGGTTCTGTGACTGGCTGGGAAGGTGGGACAGGGAAATGGGGACAGGAACTAAGGACTGCTGAATCTCCATTTAATGAGGGCACTGTCCAAGGGCACGTGCGTGTTGTCCTGAAGACTGGGAACAGAACCCATCTTATTAGAGTTTCAGGACAATTGCCTGTTTCAAACATTAGTATAATTAATAGAATCACTTATAATGTAGGTCTTTGGTCCTATGTGTCCAGAGATGGTGATATCTATCTGTGTGGTTGTTGACAGATTAAGCTTCATGGAATTCTGGGATTAAAAACTTTACCATTAATTCACATATGATGGCCACAAAATACAGTGAGTGATCTTTGTCTCCAGAAGCTTAGGGTTGGAAAAGCAGAGCAACTAGAGTCTGTAAAATGATAGCCTGGGTGCTGGTGAGAGGGCTCCGTAAGGTGCCTGCTGGGCAGGCCTGATGATTTTAGCTCAGTCCCTGGAACCAGTAAAGGTGGAAGGAGAGAAGTGGCTCCATAAAGCTGTCCCCTGACTTCCATGTGGGAGCCAGGGCATGCAACCCATACACACCCTTCCCCCACTAAGAATAAATGGAAATTATAAATGTGTTATGGGATAGTAGTTATGCAGACTGCTTACAGGGTTGCTAAGGGAATGGGTGGAGGGATGGAGAAGAGGAGATAAGGGGGGTGATATGTGTGGAATAATATTACTGAAGAAATCAGTAACAAATGGACTTGGTATTATTTCTCTCTTAAGTAGACTTTATATTTTTGCCATACGCTCCCTTTCTCTGCTCCCCCATGGTTAGCACCACACACCACAGAATATATTTGTTGCTGCTTTGGTTTGGTTCTTTCCTATTGTTGCTGCTCTTCTTCTCCCATGGTAAGATAAGAACACTTCACATGAGAGCCAGCATCTTTTTTTTTTATTTAAAAGATTTTTTCCCCCATTTTATATACCAACCACAGTTCCTCCTTCCTCTCCTTCTGCTCCCCCTACCGCCCCTCCAAATCCTCCCCATCCACTCCTCAGAAAGAATTTGGCTTCCCATGGGGAGTCAACAAAGTCTGGCATACCAAGCTGAGGCAGGACCAGGCTGTTCCCTGCTAGCCAGGCTGAGCAAGGTATCCCTCCATGTGGAATGGGCTCCAAAATGCCAGTTCATGCACTAGGGATAAATCCTGGTCCCACTGCCAGTGGCCCCACAGACTGCCCAAGTCACTTAACTTTCAGAGGGCCTGGCTTGGTCCTATGCAGGTTCCCCAGCTGTCAATCCAGAGTCAGTGAGCTCCCAGTAGCTCGGGTCAGCTGACTCTCTGGGTTTCTCCATCATGGACTTGATCCCTTCGGGAGTCAGCGTCTTAAACGCTTGGGCACACAGTTCAGTGTTACAAGCTGTACACAATATTGTGGCAGATCTCCACGAATTGCCCACATGCTGCTAAAACCACACTCACTTATCTCCGCGGCTTCTCACAGTAGCTGCTTTCTCTTCTGAGCTAGACTGTTAGAGACACCCTATGGAAGTGGAGATGCAATATCTGCCCTTCAGTGACTCATGTATTTGACTTATAATATTTTCCAGATTCATTCACATGGCTACATATGGAAGGATTTGTTCTTTTCAGAGGCTGATTAGTATCACATTCTATACATAGACCATTCCATTCATCAGCTGAACATTTAGGTTGTTTCTATATCCTGGTTCTTGTGAGTCACACTGCGGTTGTGTTTGGGTATGAATGAGGAGTTGTGTGTGTTTATATTCATAAAAATGCTGTTTATAGACTTCACAAAAGAATTCTCCCAGTTTCATCTTTCAGAAGATTCACGTGATTTGCATATTTATTTTTATTGACTCAACAAACTTTCCCATTTATGACTCCAGCCTTATTTGCACTCGGCAGTGAGGAAGATCTAAGCATCGCAGAGCCTTTTAGTGAGGACGAGGGATACATGCATGGACAATTTTGGCAGAGCTTCAGTGCCCAGTGTAATAGTCATTAGCTGCATCCTGGTGTGTGGAAAAGAGATGCAGCCGCTGTGACCAAGGAGCTGAGTTTCATTATTTGATTTTTATTTCAGTATAAAATCAAGAACATATTTACCTCACTTATCAGACAGCTTTCAAGTAGATTTGGAACAACGTTGGAATGTGAATCTGCTTTTTCAACTGTACATTTTGGAAATCAAAATGTTGGATTAATAATTATGTATGTACTAATATTATTTTTGATGACAATATTGTGTCTTCATTTAAAATATGCTGCATGGAAGATATACATTGGCACTTGATGAGTTAATGGGAAAATATTTAATCACGTTTGCATTATGTGTTTGAGTGACTTAGATTACCTGGCTAAATGAAATATATTATTAAAATTTATCATATTCTTTTTACTTTTTAAATGAAGCTACCAGAAAAAGCATAAAATTATGCACATCATAGTCATGTTTTTATTCAGTGGTACCACAGCATATAGTGACCTGTGTCATAATCAAGTTGTACCAAGGGGTACTGGCCCAGAGCAAGTTGAATGTATTTTTTGCCTGGGGAGCATATCAATCAATTAATTAATAATCAATTAATTAATTTTGCTTTTGTCAATACCCAACAATAATTTAAGGCTTATTTTGTTTCATAGTTCAGAGAAATGCATTCTGTGATGGTGTGGAAGGCATGAAATCAGAGGTAGCTTCCTCCATGATGCCAACCAGGAAGCAGAGAAGGGGATGTCAGAGCTCAGCTGGCATTTCCCTTTTTATAGAAGGGAAAGTTTTTATAGTTTTTTTTCCCAACTGCTCAGCCCTGAGATAACCACACAGAAACTGTATTATTTAAATCACTGCTTGGCCCGTTAGCTCTAGCTTCTTATTGACTAATTCTTACATATTAATTTAACCCATCTCCATTAATTTATATTTTACCATAAGGCTCGTGGTCTACTGGCAAGATTCCGACATGTCTGTCTCTGGTGGCCACTCCATGCCTTCTCCTCACTCCACCTTCTTCCTCCCAGCATTCAGCTTAGTTTTTCCTGCCTACCTCTAGTCTGCCCTATTAGGCCAAGCAGTTTCTTAGTTCATTAACCAATAAAAGCAACACATAGACAGAAGGACCTCCCACATCATTTCCCTTTTCTTAAGGTTCCTGAAATATTTGAAGAATACCTATCTAATTGAAATATATCTCTATATATCTATAAAACCTAACTAATATGACTACAACTTTGGCTATTATAGATGATGATCTATTAACCTATATTTCTTAATTATCTATTACATTTTTAATGAGCTGGACAAACACAATATCTTAATCAAGTTCAAGATTAATTGACCTTAGATTTGTACCAATAAACCAGGATTCATACCAATGTAAATTCATATTTATATCATATCCTTCTTTAAATGTAAATATTTATAAACAATCATTTAGGGAATTTAAGAATAGTTCTCTCAAAACTGCTTCCTGCTTTTTATTGGTTAGCATACTTTTGGGGGGTGTTCATGGTAACCTTTCAGGGGGTCTTGGTCCATTAAGTGGTTTTAGTCTGGAAGAAATCCATGGGTTCTCATGTTCTGTGGAAACAAAAGAAGAACCTCTTTTCCAAAGCAACAAATCCTTAGACCCATATTTTGGAATCAAGATACCTTTAAAGTATATATGTTGGCTTGGCTTAGCAGTCCCCATATCAAATGTCTCTGCAGCCAAAAAATTTAAAGAAAACATATATAATCCAGACTCTCTGTGTATATTCCATCTTTATGTAGCTTATTCTTTCTTAATTTTTTTAATTTTTTTTATCTATGACTATCTGTACTCTGTCTCTTTAAAGACTTTACCTTTTTTTTAAAAAAACCATTTACTTCTTTTTTTTTAACTATCTATATTCTTGTTCTTCCCTCTCTCAAGCCTATGTACATTTTCCCAACCCTGTGACCCATTTTGAGGTCGTTTCCATCCAAATTTGTCTTTATTGTGTATTTATAATTTTTTTCTGACCAGGACTGCTTCTTAAAATGCTAAATGCTTCTTAAAAACCTAAGCTACAGCTTTGCTAGAGCAAATATGGCCCTGCCTTCTTGCTTTGCCCAGTCCAACATGGCGGAACTCTGTTCACTGCCTTTGAGACTGCCAGGTGGGAGCCGTCCTCACCACCTCAATTCTGATAACCAGTTGGCCCATGATGCTACCAGGAACTTGCAACATGCTTCCCACAAATCCCATTTAATTGTTCTATAGCTGGACTTCCAGAAGGAGTCAGAGTTCATGCTGGCAGCACTGCCCAGAAAGCTGTTGTTTCAAAACCACGTTTTTTGTTTGTTTGTTTGTTTTTTTCTGCTACCACTGAATCAGTGAGACCTCTTTTAAAGGAGCCATGGCATTAAGTTGTTATTAACTCTGGATATTTGTGTGTGTGTCTAGAATTACTTTTAAAGCATTCTCAGGTTTTACATAGATTTAGTCAACCACATTGGGCACAAATTTGTAGTAGGAAGCTGCTTGTTTGTTTCTTGATTGCCCAGACTCCCAAAACAATCACAATCCTGGAAGAAGGCAAAACAGTCCAAGAGTAAAAATACCATGTCTTTGAAAACAGGTAAAAGGTAAATCCTTTCCAACAGAGGTTATTATTGCTTATCCTGAAATATAATATGCCTGCAGTGGGAAAGAGAAACTGGGGATTCACTATGAGATGCTGAGCCATGGAGAGAAAGCTTATTTGGAAACTTCAACTGCCTCACCTTCTTTGGTCTAGGCTGGAGGTTGAATGCCCAATTTAGTAGTTGCCTTTTGTTGTCTTGGAAGCCCCACCAGAGGTGACATTGCTCTGCCCAGGACTGTCTCTGTTGGGAACTCTAGATGAGTGCTTCTAAGGAGTCCCCATAGTCAACTTCTGCTGGAAGTCTTGAGAGCCTGGTTTGATGTGGTTTGTCATCTCTATACCATTAGCTGTTTTCTCTTATTTGGAGTGCTGTGTACTTAATAACCTCACTCATTCAAAACTGAAGATATGACTATAGGTCATTCTCTGAACTATAAAGAGAAAGCATGCTATTCCAACTCTAATGTCCTGCTTGACTGACTCTAAACCTCCCACTGATTCATGACCAAACTCATGTTGTCTCCTTGGTGGCGACAATTCCCTAGCTTCCTATGGTGGTTAATTTCAGTTGCCAGCTTGATTGGAGT